GGAACCCTAATCAGGCTTTTCTGACATCTCAGATGAAAGAGTTTACAGCAGAAGGTAAACAAAGCCAGTCTTCATGCTGGAAACGAGGCTGCAGGACACTTTCAGGGTTAGGAACCACGTTAGGTCCTCAGAGGAGCAGCGCTGCTCATTGCAAGGAGCTGCTGGGGTCTTGTCTTCACATTTTCTGCTTTTCTCTGCTTCCTGCTTTAGCCATTTCAACAAGAAAATACTCTTTTTAAAATAGAGATATTTCTTGGTCTCAATTTTTGAGTGAAATCATACTCAGAGCATACTCAGTGTGGCCCAAAACATTTAATTAATTTCTCAAAGTGTTTCTCTTTTACCCACAAGATAATTTTGCTCCGTGGTGGAATCTAACCCTGAGTTTAAAATTTTGAATTAAAAAATTCCTGAAAGTGTAAGGCATTGTTTTAAAAATCTGAATATTTAGCTTTACAATACCCTTATTAAAATTAAATTTAAAGATCAGGTTCATTATGATTATATTTTTTGGTTACTGTATTTAAAAAACAAAACAAAACTCGGCACTGCAGTGTTAGACACTGACAGCATGTTGTCTTTAAGAACTGCCCTTGCAGGCTAAAATACTGTGAAACCACTGTGACTGCAGCCCTGCAAAGTAAACATGGTACTCTTTCCCTTTTGTTGTGGTAGTGATCTGTTCTCTTGGTAAACATTGTCTTCATTCAGGGGATACTTATTGAATAGCTACTGCACCATGCTCTGGCCAGCATTGTGGCAGGAGAAGGCAGTAGAAATTGTCTGGGTGGATGTTCGGGGGGGCCAGAAAGACCATGGGAACAGCTCTTAGGGCCCCATGTGTGTGAGATGCTGGAGAAATGTCCCCTGGGGAAGCTCAGTCCAGGGGAGAAGATGCACAGCACTGTGTGGCAGTGTCATCCCGGAGAATCTGTCCTAGGATAGGGAGTGGCCTATTTAGCCTTGGAGGCAGGGTGGAGCCTAAAAGATTCCCTGAGGTAGGTAGCTAAAGGAATAGAGATTAAAAAATGTAGAAGAGAGGGGCCGGCCCAGTGGCGCACTGGATAGTGCGCCGCTTAGGAGGCGCGGCAGCGCTGCCGCGCCTCCTAAGCGGCCCCCCCCCCCCCCCAGCCCCTGGGAACCCTTTCCCCTTTTCCCTCCTTTAAAAAAAAAAAAAAATGTAGAAGAGAGGGGCCGGCCCAGTGGCGCACTGGATAGTGCGCCGCTTAGGAGGCGCGGCAGCGCTGCCGCGCCTCCTAAGCGGCCCCCCCCCCCCCCCAGCCCCTGGGAACCCTTTCCCCTTTTCCCTCCTTTAAAAAAAAAAAAAAATGTAGAAGAGAGGGGCCGGCCCAGTGGCGCACTGGATAGTGCGCCGCTTAGGAGGCGCGGCAGCGCTGCCGCGCCTCCTAAGCGGCCCCCCCCCCCCCCCAGCCCCTGGGAACCCTTTCCCCTTTTCCCTCCTTTAAAAAAAAAAAAAAAAAAAAAAAAAAAAAAAAAAAAAAATGTAGAAGAGTTTACCAAGATGACTGGAGGGGTGGCATTCCAGGGAGAGAGAAAGGGATGGAGTGTGAAGTCTTTGTGTCTTTGGGAAAATGCAGCTGGTTTGTACAGTTGTAGTTCAGGGGTATGTGGGAAGGTGGCAAGAGAGGTGCCTTTACTGAGCACTTGAATGTTTCCTGGGAACCTCACAACTAAGTGAAGCAGGTCTCCATAGCTCCATTTCACAGAGGAGGAAGGATCCTGAGGCGTGGAGAAGTTGGGTAACACCCTAAGAGCATGCAGCTCACGAGTAGCAGGTATTTCTGACTCTGGCTCAAGTTCATCACTGTGCTGTATTACTGGGCTGCTATTTGGACCATATCTGACAGGCTATGGGAGAAACTCAAGGATTTTAATTCTTAGTTTTGTCTTTTAGAGATGGCTGTTAGTCATTACACTGGGAAAGAAGGTATAAATGGAGAGAAGCGTGTGGCAGCAGTATAGTGGGTGAAATGGGAGGCAGGCTGGGAGAAAACCAGGTAAGAAGGAAGAGCCCAAACTAGGGCAGTGGAGAGGAGGAGATGGATCAAAGACACTTGGATATTTGGCTTGACCAGTTTGGGTGAGCAGCTGGGTGTGAGAGAGGAATTGAGGACACTCCTGGTTTCTCGCTGGAGTAACGAATGGTCACATTTGGTTAGGGAACCCAGCAGGAGGGAAGGGCGGAGGGTGGGGTAGAGAACTTGCTGGGGTTTAGGGTATTGGCCTCTGTCCCTCCCACTTCTGGCCACTCTCCTGGTCCTCCTTATCTGGCTCCTCCTCCTCTGCCAAGCTCCTTGGGGCTTGGTCCCAGGCACCCATCTCTTTCTGCTCTCCCTTTAGTAGCTCATCCAGTCCATAACTTTAAATACTGACTCTAAATTATCAGCTCCGAAATTAACCTTTCTAGTTCAGTCCTCTCTTAGCAGCAGACTGGAATATTCCACCTCTCCACTTGACATCTCACTTCTCACTTCAGTGTCTCAGAGGCATCCCATACTTACTCAGAGTTTCGGTCCTGTCTTCCCAGCTACAAAACTCACCTCTTTCCCCATTTTACCCATCCACAATCTTAGCCACCAGCCCCTCAGTTGCTCAAGCCAGAATCCTAGGAGTTATTCTGGAAAAGGCCCTCTGCCTTACATTCCATACTGAGTTAATCATAAAAGCAAGTCGATCCTCCCACCAAAATACGTCTTGAATCTTCCTTCTCTATCCGTCTCTTCTATAATCTAACTAGGTCAAGCTACCATCATCCTTGTGAGCTAGAACCACTGCAGTGGTCAACTCGCTGGTATCCCCACTTCCACTTATGCCCAGCCCCTTCTCCAAGCCACCCTACACCTGGCAGCCTGTGGGGTGTCATAACCTCCTTATTAACCGGCCTGCCTTCACTTCTCCCTGCCCTGGTATTTCACATGTGCTGGTGCCCTGACTGTGATGGGCTTCCCCCCACTGGCTCATTTTTAATCTTTGGGTGTTAAATGGCATTTCCCCAGAGTGATCTCTAACCGCTCATCTCTCACAGCATCCTATTCTTTTCTTTCAATGCATTTCTCATGATTTGTGATTGTAAATGCATTTAATGTTTACTGCCTTTATTCACTAGCATATACGTATCAAGCATGTTAGTGCCAGACATCATGCTAGGGGCAGGGACGCAATGTTGAGTAAAAGCAGACATGACAGGCATTTAACAAGAGGTAGTAGAAGGCAGAAGCACTTCTGTGACATCTGGCTGGAGAGTAGAATACATGTGTTCGGCATTTGATGCTGGGTAGTGAGGTATATCTAGTTAGAGTCATAAATGAGATCACCCAGGATGAGATTATAACTTGAGAAAAGCAGAGGGCCAATGTCTATATTTGTATCTTGCTTTATTCTAGAAGGATTTTAGGTGGATTGGGATTGGGTCCTCAGCAAGTGGCACAATGCACAGGGAAAAGCAGGAGAGAAGTCATCAAAGAACACAAACCTGAAGTAGCTAGCAGTAGACGGGGTACAGGACAAGGTGGGCTTCATAACAAAGCCGGTTTTAAAGAGCTGCTGTGATGGCAACAGGTAAACATACCAGTCAAATAAAAACATCAGCGGCCAGCATCTGTTGGCTTAGCAGTTGGCCGGTCATTGCCTAAGTATACTGGGCAGGAGAGGAGGGGGATGACGAGAAGCCATCAGCTGCAGACTGGGCGATTAGTGGGAGAGGATGAGGAGAGGTAGGTATGTGGGCTGTGACGGGACAGAAAGAGAAGTGGGTGAATGCAGGGCCAGGGCAAGTTCACTGTTTTATGAGCTATGCAGAGGTGGGGTTTGGTGCATTTTCTGCTGGGGCAAGTGAAGAAGGAGAGGAAAGAATGGTGGTCTCTGAGGTAGATAGTGGATGGACTCCAGTGCTCATGCACAAGGAATAGCTTTGACCTGAAACCTTGAGGAGTCTGGTGACTTCCGTTGGGAGCAACTGTAGTACAGTGTGCGTACAGAGGCCTGGAAATCAAATAGCTTTTACCCACCCTTCTGCCAACTTCCATCAAAGACTGCATAACTTGAGCAGTTGCCTTGCCTCCCTGGGTCATGATTTCCTCTTCTGTAAAAACCTCATTGGAAATCAAGAATTGAGTGAGATCTTGAACACAAGGGACTTCACACAGTGCCAGGTCCCCATGTGCTTTTGTCATGGGAACAAATTTAAGAGATGAGGTGGGGTTGAGGGGGGCATTAATAAGGGAATTTCAACTGAAATTCAGATTATTTTAAAAATATTTCAGTAATGTATTTCCTTCATTTAACATTTTTTTTAATGAGAGCATATGCACATTATGCACCAAATGTTTTGCTGGTGGCTGGTGTGCTGTTTATGATCTCAACCTTAGAAGTATTAGGTCTGTGTGGATAATGCAAAAATATCAGTTGTTTTAATAATAGGGAATGTCTGAGAAGTTAATTATACACGTAGGAAGCTCAGGTATTTATTCTTTTCAGAAGAGTCCTTCCTATTTTGGATTCATGCCCTTTAGTACGTGTTATTCATGCTTTGAGGAGAGAACTGAAGTTAACACACTGAATATCTGAATTGATGTAATCTAATTTTCCTGCATTTGTTCCTTAAACTTAAATGACTCTTCTTACTGAAAATCTGATGACTAATAAGAGAGATCTCTAGTCCCTATTCCCTGAACATATCCATGAGGTGAATTTGTACAATCACACACATACTTTTATGTATATTTTATGAGCCTTTTCCTATTTTGAGGCTTTTTGCAGTATCAGTTTGTGTATCAATAATGCCAGCCAATGATCTTTCATTTACCAAATAATAGTAAATGTAATAGGCAGAATGTCACTAAAGACAGTGAACCCCTGCAGCTAGTGCAGCGGAGAGCATCTGCTGGTGCGTGGCAGTGTGGAGTGGTCAGAGCCGTAGAAGCGTGTGGCTGTGAGCTCCACAGCTTGTGCAGTGTCGCGTGTGCTGACTGCCTGACCTAATGGCCTCTCTTATCATCTGTCCCACAAAGCTTGTGCTGCTGCACTATCACTGTGTCTTTTCTTTCCCTGCTAAAGAGGTAGGTTTGGCTTATTCCTTTTCTTTTGTATTCTCACCAGTGGACCGCATTGTGGGCCTGGATCAAGTCACTGGGATGACTGAGACAGCTTTTGGCTCTGCGTATAAAACCAAGAAGGGCATGTTTCGTACTGTTGGGCAGCTCTACAAAGAATCTCTCACCAAGCTGATGGCGACACTCCGAAACACCAACCCGAACTTTGTTCGCTGCATCATTCCAAATCATGAAAAGCGGGTGTGTGTAAAGGAAAACATATTCTAGTATTTAAAACTGATCTAGGTCAGGTTACAAAGATTAAACTAAAACTATTATTTGCTTAAACAGGCTGGAAAACTGGATCCACATCTAGTGCTAGATCAGCTTCGCTGTAATGGTGTCCTGGAAGGGATCAGAATCTGTCGTCAGGGGTTCCCCAACCGGATAGTTTTCCAGGAATTCAGACAGAGGTATTGCTAACTTTTACCTTTTTTTGCACATGTATCAAAAATTATCTTAATATGAATTAAAGTGGTGATATAACAAGGAAACATTTTCCCTTGTTCCCTTGATAGGGACAGTTTAGGGATGATCCTCATTACCTTGATGATTGGTAGGAAGACAGAGTGCCTGCTTTATGAAAAGACAGTGTGTTAGGAACTGCTGCAAGTGCCGCAAAAAATACTGACCTCTTCAGCACCCCTGGGGCAGCTTGTGAGATAGACACACTGTTTATTTGTTCAGACAGTTCTACATGGGATTCAAAAATAATTCTCGAGAACTTTTTTTAGTAGATGAGTAATTAAGTAATGTATGTTCTTTTTAGGAAAATGTGAAAATACAGTAGAAGTAAAAAGTAAATAAAAATCATCCAGGACTGATTCCTGAAAACATTTTTGGATATTTCTTTCCATCTTTTTTCAATGAATGTGTATATGTATATATTTTTTCTAATATGTGTGTGTATGCACATGCACAATTACAGTCCTCTAACTAAAATAGAGAAGGGAATAGGATAGATTAGAAAAGGATTAAGAAAAAAAAAAGGAAAAAGGTCAATCAATGTACAGTGGAAGTGGATACAAACATATGATGGGAAATAGTTATTTTAAAATTTTATTTGGTGATTTTCTTTAATGGTTAATTTAGTTTGCTTTTTTCATTCTTTCTTCTGGAAATTAGATTTCAAAATAGGGCAGCATTTGTTGGCCCATGAGCTACATAGGACTGCCAGGGCAAAGAATGGCCTATTTGCCCTTTCTCCCTCTGTTTCAGATGTAACCAACCTGCGAAGCTATTCCAATCCATTTGTGTCTTGAGGACGACCATTAATATGGCCCCATTGTATAATAAACAGTGTGGTAGATTTTCACTTTTTACTGATGAGAGGAAAGGGAGGCATAATTGGCATCCAGGATACAAAGTTGATTGATGTAGCCAGTATTTATCCTTTACTATGGCCAGTGTCTTTTTGTTAAAAAATTTTCTGATTGAGGTATAACCTATATACAGTGCACACATTTTAAGTGTACATCACCATGAACATATGTACATATGTACACCCAGACCAACGCCATTTTGAATGTCACCCTGATACTTTCTAATGTTCTTAATAGAAGCCTGTGAACATTCTTCGAAGAACATTCTGTGAAGGTTCTTCCAGCCTTTTCTGTTATCTAATTAGTGCCTACAGTTGACAGTGACTTAAAATACAAAGAGCCAGATTTTCTTTGCATCTTAAGGATGTGAACATTTTGTAGGAACAAGGAAAATCGGAAGGTTTTTAAAACGTAATGTCTTTGATTCCTCTCTGCCACAACCTCCTAAGTCTAGTCTCTGACCCGAAAGAATTAACCTTATTGTAAGAAATAGAAAACTAGATCTTTAGAAAACCTCAGATTATCACCTGCTCCTTTCTTTACTCTTAACCTAACGTGTATTACCTATCATTTTATTGTCTTTTAGAGAGAATAGAACTCACAGTTAGTAGATACACATGTTCACAAATTTCTACAAAAGACTTTTGGAATCTTTTCTTACAGATATGAGATCCTAACTCCAAATGCTATTCCTAAAGGTTTTATGGATGGCAAGCAAGCCTGCGAACGAATGGTAAGCTTTTCTTGAGAATACTTTTCTTCTGGTTTGTAGACTATAAATATAATCTTTCCAGTAGCAAAAAATAAACAGACTCTTTCTCTCATAGATCCGGGCTTTAGAATTGGACCCAAACTTGTATAGAATTGGACAGAGCAAGATATTTTTCAGAGCTGGAGTTTTGGCACATTTAGAGGAAGAAAGAGATTTAAAAATCACCGATATCATTATCTTCTTCCAAGCTGTTTGCAGAGGTTACCTAGCCAGAAAGTAAGTGGGTACTCATGAACACCTGCTAAGGATGTTTGTGCAGAGCATCGCACTTTGTGCCAGGGAAGCAAGAGGGCATGAGAAATGTGGGAGAAGAGGCTTGAGAAATGGGCACTGGTCAGGTATGAGAAGTGTGGGGGTATGACAGCGAGGTGGATCTGTGTTTTCAAGGCCACCTGGCTGCCATGGGCACAGTCCATTGAGGGAGGGGCAAGAGGAGTTAGGTGGGCCCATTGTGCGGGCTGTTGTAGTGATTTGTCTGAAAGATGATGGTGCCTGGGCCCAAGACAGTGGTGGTGGAGATTGAGAGAAAGTTGTTGGATTTTAGATAGAATTCAAAGAACTTAGACCTGTTTTTGATTAAGCACATAATACTAGTGTTTTCTTTACTTCTTCCTACTGAAGACTTAACCTTTGGGAGTGAGAGGAGATGAGAGAGGAGAATAGTTCACCATCCAGACAGTTTTGAAAAACAGAATGTGAGCACCTGCCCTGGAGGTTAACGTTGTGCAGCGACGTCCTCCCAGTGTGGGTTGGGAAGCAGCTCTGGTTCACAGGCAGCCCGTTTGCCCAGGCACTGAAGAAGGTGGAAGCAGCGCTTGTGTTCCTTTGCCTGTAAAATAGAACGCTGAGTAAAAAGGGTGGCGTGGAAAGTTCAAGAGAGATGGATGATATCCTTAGTGATTGATGCTAAGAAACATTTGGTGAGAAGGAGCAAAAGACTTGGGTTTTTATGTATTAATGCTTAGAGCATGTTTAAATAATAAAGTGGACCTGTTTATAGCAAAGGCCATCCTTACAGTGTCCACTGGACTATAGAATGCCTAACGTAGTGTAAAGAGTAAGCCCCAGCCGGTGCCTTTCTAGCTCAGGCTTTACACCTCTCAGAGACATACTGCACTGTCAAAAGTGCAGGAGATGGGGCTGGCCCGGTGGCGCACTGGATGGTGCGCTGCTTGGGAAGCGCGGCAGCGCTCCCGTCCGAGGGAAGTAGTTAAATATACTTTGTGCAGCCTTTTCACTGACTTTGGTCTAAACCTTGCTTGCAAAAATTTCAAGATAGAAAATTTCAAACAAAGATATTACACTCACATCATCCCATCTTAAAACTAATAAATCTATATAATCTTACATGTGAGTCAGCATGCCTATATCATTTGCAGCCACTGTCCCTAAATATTTTAGTCACGCTATGTATATGGTAGAACAGAACTTAAAATTAGGATACATCAATAAAAGAAAACAGCCTATCCAAAAGAACCAGCTTATAATGTGAAAAAAAGGCAGAGTAGTACTTACAGTAGTCAAAAAGGTAGATATTTACATGGAAGTCCATGAACTTGAGGCTGAAGTACCTCAACCTCCATCTGAGGACATTGGGATAAGTTTAAAAAGAGGGAAAGAACAGAGTGATTTTAAACACTTTTGAAAACATGTTGAACAGTGCCTGACACATAGTAGGTACTCAAGGAAAGCCAGCTGCCTCATTCAGTGCCTGGCATGATCCTGACTCACCATTCTAACAGTTTTATCTCCCAGAGGACCAAGGAAGTAACTAGGGCAGTGGTTTTTAATAAGAAGATTGGATGAATTTTTATGGTATTCCTGAAGGCAACTGCAAGAATTGGAGAGTGGTTGCTTTATATTTCAAAAGGCATTTTTGAAACTATTGTATTTATAGTAGAAACTCTTGGAATTAAGACTTGGCCAGACCTTTTTAGCTGGTAGGGATAAGAAGGTAGAAGGCTTTGTTGGGAGCAAGAACAAAAGCAGCTACAAAGCAGTGGGCACAAGGAAAATTCTAAGAAGCAAGGGAGGAGTGAGTTGGCAATATGAAAGTGCTGGGATTCCTGAAAGGAACTGTGATAGGCAGGTCAGCAGAAAACTGAAAGTTGTTGTTTGTGCTCTAAAACAGAAGCTGTCGGGTCGTTTCTTAAGACCCTTCCACGTGCATCCTGATCCAGCTGTTTGCTGGAGTAAATGAATAATTCTACAGTATTTCACCATCTTTTCTCTTTCCCAGGAGAATCCTATAGATACTCCTGTAAAAGGACTCAAGAAGGGGCCAGTTGTAAAAGGGGGCAGTTGTAAAAGGACTCAAGAAGGGGCCAGTTGTAAAAGGGGGCAGTTGTAAAAGGACTCAAGAAGAGGCCAGTCATTCATTCATTCACTCAGCCAACATATTTTGAGGAGGCCTTGAGTATACCAGTCACTTGATTGTATGCTGAGAACACAAAAATAACCAGGCCATAATCCCTGCTCCTAAGGCTCATTCACTCAGCCAACATATTTTGAGGAGGCCTTGAGTATATCAGTCACTTGATTGTATGCTGAGAACACAAAAATAACCAGGCCATAATCCCTGCTCCTAAGGAGTTCAGAATCTAGTTGCAAAGGTAGTTGTGTAAGTAGGTAATTGGAGTAGAGCATAAGTGCTATGAGAGAGGGATGAGGGAGACTCTGAGATCGTTCTGGTGCTCTGAAAACCAGGGAATGAAAATGTTTGAGTAGTGGGTAGTCCACAGAAGGTGTGCAGTAGAGAAGGCTAAATGAAAAAGCTGCTAAATAACAAGTCTAGGGAGTCTTTTATCAATATCTAAAATGCAGCCTAAGTAGTGGGATGGGGTAGGAACCAGACTGCTGGAGTCAGGGAGTAAGGTAGCAGGGGCAGTTGCCTGTGGATCCTGAAAGTTTGATAATGAGGAGAAAAAGATAAATTGTGTATCAGAAGGAATGGCGAGTAATGAACTTTGTTTGGGTCTGGGGGTTGTTTGGGCAGGAGAGGGGGTGAAGGTTTCATAAGGAGAGCTGTGTTCCTGAAGGAGAGTGAGAAATTGAAAATACCAGAGTAGAGGTAAAAAGGAAGTGGGTCTTAGATCACACCGAGGGAGGGAGAAGGCAGCGTCATGTAGTGGGAAAGGCACAGATGTGGATGTGATGGGAAGACTAGGGTTCCACAGTTCACGCATCATCCCCACGTCCTATAGAAAGGCTCTCGAGTGTGAATGAGAGAAATTAGCACGATGATCCGCACGCTCATTGGAGCTTCAGAATGCCGGGCTGTGTTGTGGCAAAGCAGAGGGAAGGAGGAAAAAATTACTTTAGAGAGGGGAAGGAATGTTCTTCTGTGACAGCAGAAGGAAAACGGGAGAGTAGCTAATAAAGGAGCAATAAAAAGCACCAGCAAGGGGAAGATGAGGGGCCTTCTGTCACATGCTCTTTGTTGCCTCGGGAAAACAGGTGTGTTTATAGCCATGAGTGCGCACACGCAGGTTTGTGCTCATGTGGGCACATGGCCGCAGCAGAACGTGCAGGGCAGCGTCTGTGACAAAGGTGCAGGAATCAGGGATGTGTGTGTGAGGCCAGCTGCGCAGGCCATGAGCGGCGCGGACCCGAGTGGCGTTCCCACTGCCTCACGTACTCCCCCGAGAACTGATTTGATGTTCCCAGTCCCTGTCCTAGACGAATAGGAATGTTGGCCATTAGAAAGTCTTCCTGTGACAACTAAGACACCTTTTTATCTACATAGTAAATTTTTCTCACTGTTCTTCAGGGCCTTTGCCAAGAAGCAGCAACAACTAAGTGCCTTAAAGGTCTTGCAGCGGAACTGTGCCGCCTATCTGAAATTACGGCACTGGCAGTGGTGGCGAGTCTTCACAAAGGTGGACTTTACTTATGTCTTTCTAAATGCTTTTCTAGATAGCAGAGTTTGGTCAGACAGTGCCCATAGGAAAGATGTGATGATAAACTATTTAATGTTCCTATAGGTGAAGCCTCTCCTACAAGTTACTCGCCAGGAGGAAGAACTTCAGGCCAAAGATGAAGAGTTGTTGAAGGTGAAGGAGAAGCAGACCAAGGTGGAAGGAGAGCTGGAGGAGATGGAGCGGAAGCACCAGCAGGTGTGTGCTGACTTCGTGAACTCGCACACCCCGGCATCAGAAGGAGATCCTCCACCGATAGCCTCTCACACGTTCACTCAGGAATAGTTATTTTATGTGAGGCATGTCCACTCTTTTCAAAGCATACACACCTTGAGAAGAGAGTAAACATACATTATGCCTTGCATTTTAGATTTATGTAAATTAAAATCAACCCTACTTTTGCATCTTTGCCTGTGTCATTCTTTGGCATGCAAATGGTCAAGTTTGCTACCGAGCTTACCTGTTTGAGATGAGGCTCACAGCACTGTTAACTTACCGTGTCTGCTTATGAGGGGAACTAGAACAAGAATAAAAGGATGAGATGGTTGAGCACAAGGCCACCACCTGCCTCTTTCCTAGTGACAGTGGTCTTGAATCAGCGTCCCTCTTCCGGGCAGGTATTGTTCATGGACAAAGCAGAGGCTCAGGAAATGTTTGTGGATGACAGTAATAGAACTGTAGTGTTAAAAGCCAAAAATATTAACGGTAGAGGCCAAGAATATCACTTGATATCAGACAGGCTTTGGTAGTAACCATGAACTTTATAATCTTTAAATATTTTCCCTCTCTTATTTATCTGGCCCTCTATAACTTACCTTAATAAAAGAACTATAATTCTTAAAATAGTATGAATTTAGAATGTATTATCCAGGATAACTTGGACAATAGGAACAACCAAAAATGTTTGCATCTAGTTTATTTTGCTGTAGCCAAAAACATACTTGAAAGTTTGCCAGTAATGTCACACAGTAGTCCCTCCTTACCCGCAGTTTCACTATATACAATTTTAGTTACCCACACTCAGCTGTGGTCTGAAAATATTAAATGGGAAATTCCAGAAATAAACAATTCATAAGTTTTAAATCATGCACTGTTCTGAATAGCATGATGACATCTTGTGCTGTCCTGCTCTGTCCACCCAGGACTTGGGTCACCCATCATCCAGTGCATCCTCACTATATACAAGACCTGCCCTTTTGTCACTCAGTAGCTGTCACAGTTATCAGATCATCTACAACAGTATGAAATGGCTTTTTCAAGTAACCTTTATTTTACTTAATGATGGCCCCAAAGCGAAAGAGAGTTGTGCCTAGTTTATAAATTAAACTTTATTATAGGTATGTGTGTTTAGGAAAAGACATGGCATATAAAGGGTTCAGTATTATCTGTGGTTTCAGGCCTCCACTGAGAGTCTCGGACTCTACGCCCCACGGATAAGGGAGGGACTACTGTATATTTTTAACTCCAAGTTTCTTTGACGACATGCATCGACCACTGAAATCACGATGAATATATCTTGTGTATCCACTGGAGGCAAGTCATAATACAATCATGCGTTGCTTAACAACAGGGCCGTGTCCTGAGAAATGCACTGTTAGGTGATTTCATTGTTGCATAAACATCATAGTATGTTCTTACACAAACCTAGATGGTATAGTCACTGTCCCATATGCTGTCTGTCACTGACTGAAACGTCATTATGCAGCGCATGACTGTACTGTACACTTTATTGTGATCGCAGCTTTTAGAAGAGAAGAACATCCTTGCAGAACAATTACAAGCTGAGACTGAGCTCTTTGCTGAAGCAGAGGAGATGAGAGCAAGACTTGCTGCTAAAAAGCAAGAATTAGAAGAGATACTACATGACTTGGAGTCTAGGGTTGAAGAAGAAGAAGAAAGAAACCAGATCCTCCAAAATGAAAAGAAAAAAATGCAAGCACACATTCAGGTATCTGTAATAGTTTTATTTCCAGTTATGTTTTGGATTTTCAAGTGGATCTGTTGAATAAACTGAAGCTATGTGTTCAGATTCTTGTGTCCATTTTGAAGCAAAAGGATTCTAGGTTATGGGTACATATCCTCAGAAAGATGACCATGATTAAAGCACATGAGTGATAGTTTCTTCCAACAGGTTTGTTAATTTTGAATAGGAATCTTTTTTATTTACTGATGTGGCATCTTGCAGTATGCAAAGAGATTCAAAGTCAGAAACTTCCCAGGGTCTGGAGCATTCTGTTGAGGACCTAACTTGTTCTTTATGTTGTCATTACTAATTCTTTTGCTCATTCCATTCATTAGATAGGCATCTACTAAGTGGTTCAGTTCATAAGAAATGGTCAGCACTCATGTAGGAGGTGGCCAAGTATCAGAATTTCAAAAATTTAGCTCTTCCCTGATACTTTCTTTTTGAAATATAAGCTATACTCATGTGAAGCACAACTAACTGTATACGTGGTGGAATGCACAAACAAATGATAGTTATTCTGTCCGTACCCTACAACACACCCACCTTTTTCTCCTCTCTCCCATCACCATGCTATCTAATATACTTTTTTTTTTTTGCCTTTTTCCGTGTCCGGCAACGGATCGCAACCCTCAGTGTTGCCCCCGTACCAGACCGGGGACCAGCAACGGGATCGCAACCCTCGGCGTTGCTCCTGCGCCTCGCTCAGCCAGTGAGTGGGAACCGGTCTGTATGTGGGATCCGAACCCTCGGGCGGGAGCGCCGCCGCGCTTCCCAAACGGCGCACTATCCAGTGTGCCACCGGGCCGGCCCCTCTAATATACTTTGAGTGTCAGCGTGTCTGTATCTGCCACCATTGCTTCATGGATCCAGTACCAAACTCTTTCTCCCATGATCTCTCTTAATATATTTCTCAACCCACAGCTTACAATTCAGACATTAGAACCACAAAAGATATATATTACTTCCTTAGTAAACACCCCATCCAATAAATCATCTAGACACTTGCATTTCTTCCATTCTCCAACACAAACAGCTTTCAAATATCCCATAATAGGTTACTAGAATATCACAAAAGCTATAAAAAGTGCATACTCTTTAATCCAGCAATTCTAATTCTAGGAACTTTATTAAAAGATAAATCAATGGAAGCCATCTAAATTATTCAGCAATAGGGGATTATTAAACCATAGTAATACTCTACAGTTAAAAATAAAAAGAATTTATTTTCGTGGGTATTCATATTAGTAAAGATAGTTGCAAAAAGCGTGTATACATAAGATTTAATTAAAATAATTATATAACAAATTTATATGTATGATTTTGTCTGTGAATATCCAGAAGATCTAGAATAATCTTCCAACAACAGTGAGTTATCCTTGATGGTTTTATCAAAGGTTTTGATTTTCTTTTCTCTTTGTTTAATAGCATTTGCTGATTTCAATAATATTTTACCCATATAGGGGAAGGATACTCAAATTCATCTCCAGTCTCCCCAGTCTGTTTTTTTAACTCTAAATTTCAACAATTTCACATGAAATGCTTGCATTTCTTCACTCTATTTAGAAAACAAATATGTAGGAACAGGGTTTATTTTTTGTTTTGTCTTGCTTTTTCAAGACTTTTATCTTCACATTCTTACTCTTTTAAGCTTCTAGTTTCTTGCACTGTTATCTTAATTTATTATCTCCTTTTGTGACATGGAAAATCAAACACATTCTAAAAATATTCATAGTATTATTAAATTATTAAGTATTGATTTTTTTCTCTTTCAGCCCCAAAATATGAATTTTAATTACTATATGTTTTTCCAGTTTACAAATGTACCAAACATTTAATTACAAAGACCTTTTGAAGCATGTTCATAGCTCTTCAGTAACACTTTACTGTATGTCTTTTTATGTAAATCACATCTGTGACAGTTTCCTGAAATTGCTGGTTTAAAAGAAATGCCCATTTTCAAAGCTTGCTGTACTTTGCCATGTTGGCTTCCAGAAGGATTGACCCAGCGTGTGCTTTAACCTGTAGTGGATATAAATGTCTGTTTCACATAACTGCATTCCCTATTTTTTAAAATATCCTTGCCATTTTGAAAATTGAAAATTAGTGTCTCATTGTAATGCATTCCTGTGCCCTGTTAATGTGTGGTTGAATCTGATGGAGAAAGTAGGGGGACTGACTGTGTTCTTCTTCACAAGGACCTGGAAGAGCAGCTGGATGAGGAAGAAGGGGCTCGGCAGAAGCTACAGCTGGAAAAGGTGACAGCAGAGGCTAAAATCAAGAAGATGGAAGAGGAGATTCTGCTTCTCGAGGACCAAAATTCCAAATTTATCAAAGTAAGGGGCTGTTTCCATTACAAAGTTGATTTTAGAATTCAGAAAATATTCATGTTGATATGCTCACTGAAAGGGGCTTCAAACAGGAAATTCTCAAGAGGATTTTAAGTTTATTTACTTAACTTTTTCAGTAAGTCTCTATAGATGTCTAAATCCACCGAATATCCTTGCAGGCATTTAGACTTTTAACTTGTGCATGTTGTGCACATGGGTCACTCACTGATGACAGGTTGACTTATAGCCATCTGTGCAGGTGTTACTACAGCCAACACTGCTGTGGAACCCTGAATTCCTGGCTTAGAGGGAGGCACCCACAGGAGTGGGCCTTCCTGCCTTTCTGGAATATACAATCCACAGGGGGAGGCAGTGCCAATATTACTCATTTTCTCTCTTGTCAAAGAGAGTTAACTTTATCAGTAATAACAAACATAAGTTGTTTTGAATGTCTTTTCTGAAGCAATCGTTTTTTTCTACTCAGGAAAAGAAACTCATGGAAGATCGCATTGCTGAGTGTTCCTCTCAGCTGGCTGAAGAGGAAGAAAAGGCAAAAAACTTGGCCAAAATCAGGAATAAGCAAGAAGTGATGATCTCAGATCTAGAAGGTTAGTGTTAAGGGCTAGAGAAATTTAGGACTGGGACATGTGAGTGTTCAGATTTTACGTTAATTAGAACATGCAATAATAGAAAGTGTACACGGTGATTAATAATAAGGGCCTTCAGTTTGGGTTCAGTTATTAAAATTAGTCTCTTATAAGTTATCTTATATTGCCTAGTCACTTAATATTTATGATGGAATGGCATTAGAATGACTACTTTTTTAGGTTTGGTACTGTGGCAAAAGATACTGCCCTTTGGTTGACATGGTTGGGATCTAAATTAAGTTTGAATCCTACAGACCATTGAACTTTCTGTGTATTTGATCTGAAAACTGCATTAAAGTGCCTAGGTTTCACCTCACACAGGGACTGGCCACTGACATAAAAACCAGCAGGGACAGAGGAGAAAACTGCTGAGGGTAACAGCATCTCATTCCAATAACAAAAGTAATGTCAGGAAATCCTAGAACATTAGGATTTCTGCAAAAGAAATAAGAAAAGAGGGTAGAAGTTGGAAAGAGCATATAAAGCCTTTCCTCAGCCTAGCCTCTAGAGACTGGTGTCCTTACCAGGGGAAGCTTCTGTGAGTTCTGTGCAGGTGTCCACAGGGGTGTGCCCACTCTCTTTCTTAATCCATGCTTTTATGATGGGGATAAAATGGAGCTGTTTTTTTTAAAAAATTACAGTTTTGTTTGTTTGTTTTAATATAGACAAAAGAGGGAATGTCAGCATGAAGTCATTTTCATAAACTATTTTTACTAGAATATGGTTCTTCTGCCCAAAATCAGCTCTGCCTGTTTTTTCCTCACCTGTGTGATTAGCCTGTGAACTTGGTCTCATCCTCTCAGCAGATTGGTCCCTGCTGGGGACACAGAGGCATACAGGTTGCATGGCTGTGAGGAAGGCATTTGAATGGAACGGATCACTAGCATTAATTAAGAGATCACTACAGAATTTTAGAGGGGAGGTAGGAAGAGGTGCATAGCCCTTTCTGCCTCCTCCTCTGTCTTTTCTGCCCCAGTGCCTGGGGATGGCAGTCTTCTTGTTTCAAACCAGAGATTCCTGCTGAAAGGGGAAGGAGGACAGGCTGTTACAGACATGCCTCACACCTGCTGAGCCACTCACCAGGCCTGGCACAGCTATGGGTTTGACATGAGGGGATCCAGAGCACTCCAGCTCATTTCTCATGAAAGACATCCTTAGACTCTACCCAGTTTCTTTCTTAAAATTCTATCCTCACACTAACTTATCTCACCTTCAGTTTGATCTTGGTGGGTTTCAAATGACTGAGCAATTGACACAGTGTTATCAAGGCAATGACATGCTTTTGAATAAAGTGGCTTATTTTCAACTTGGATCAGGTTAAATTTTGAGTTTATTTACATGGGGTGTTGACGAACATCTTATATCTTGCCTTAAAGAACGTTTAAAGAAGGAAGAGAAGACTCGGCAGGAACTGGAAAAGGCCAAAAGAAAACTTGATGGTGAAACGACTGACCTGCAGGACCAGATTGCTGAGCTCCAGGCGCAGATTGATGAGCTCAAGATCCAGCTGGCCAAGAAGGAGGAGGAGCTGCAGGGCGCACTGGCCAGGTCTGCGGCACCGCGCGGCTCTGCCTTGAACATGTTGCTGCGGGGTTTGGTGTCAGCAGAATTTCTCACATCTGAAAGCACACTGAAACCCTGGGGAAGTGAGACGTGGTTTACTTGCTGTTGTGTATGACATAAGAAGGTGAAAAACCTAGGAGTACATAACTTGTGGCAGGGCTACAAGAAGATCTCGTTAGCATTCTTCATATTTATACTTTAGTCACATCAGGAAGTCTTTGAAAATTCACACTAGAACAAATTATTTCACCATATCAAATGTTTTCTTTTATGTACATTATAGATGAATTTCAGTATGTTTTGGAACTTTAGAGGAAATCACTTTTCAGAAATGATATTCTCCCACAGATATGTACAGTCAATTATGTTTGAATAAAATAAAGAAAAAGGAATAGAAACAATATTCCCTCACTTATAGCATAATTTGATACTCAGTTCCAAACCATTCAGTTTTAGAAAACAAATCATATTTAGTGAATATAATATTTCATTTATTTATAAAGAATAACTATTTGGCTACATGGTCATAGTACTTGGAGTTGAATTTACAATGTATTTTAATCAAGAAAATCTTATAGCAAAAAATTTTCTCTGGCCCTTGTCACTATTAGTCTTACTCTGGCCAGATCAGCCACTTTTTCACTTAGGAAGATGAGAGCTAGACTCTAGAATTAAAGTTCCTCACCATCCACTATCATGTCTGTCAGCTTCCCTGTCCCTCACCTCAAACATCCCAACTATTCCCTATCAGAAAAATCTACCAACATTTTAAACCACACAAATAAGCTAAAAGGTGCAATACTAGAAAGAGGAGAGTGTGACGTCTCTTTCTTCTACTGTGTTCCACGAACGTCTCTGAATCTGTAGATTCACTACAGGCTGGGTGCCAACTTGGTAGACTAGACTGCTACGTGGAGCAGTGTTCTAACTACAACAATATTTTACTTCAGAGAAAAATATTTTTACATTCTAAAAATATAAATATTGTGAAAGTGAGATTTTCCTACCTTTTAATGGAGAATTATAGCCCTTTGGAAAGGGGGCTGGGCTGGATGGATGCTAATTCTGCCTTTGCCACTAGTAGCTTTGAGGCCTTCAGCAAGTCATTCACTTGAGGCCCTTGCACCTGCCCCAGCAGGCCCTGAGTGGCTGCTCCGGCCTCAGACCCCAGGAAGAAAGGATGTGTAACTAGCGTCTCTCATGGCAAGGTACTCAGGGTCTGGTTCACCTGAGAAACAGTCCCTCCCTGTACCCTCTCTGAGTGCTTCTTGTGCCTGGATGTTTTAACAGAGGTGACGACGAAACTCTCCATAAGAACAACGCACTCAAAGTTGTGCGAGAACTACAAGCCCAAATTGCTGAACTTCAGGAAGACTTTGAGTCTGAGAAGGCTTCGCGGAACAAGGCAGAAAAGCAGAAGAGGGACTTGAGTGAAGAACTGGAAGCTCTGAAAACAGAGCTGGAGGATACTCTGGACACCACAGCGGCTCAGCAAGAACTCCGGTGAGTGTGGGGAAGGGGACAGCTCACGTGGTGTCTGCTGGCCTCCCGTCCAGGTCTCGCAGAAGCACTTTGCATGCGCTTGCTGTCTCTGGGAGATGGCATGTTTTTCTTTATGACGTCATTCTCAGTACCCTCTCTCCCTCCTGGCAATGACGGCGTGTGGAACGGTGATGAAGTAGCAACGGTTAGAAACAAATCAGCCTATAGATAGAAATGCCTGTGCGGGGGTGGGTGGATGGTCCAATAGACATGTGTGGAACAGTGATGAAGTAGCAACGGTTAGAAACAAATCAGCCTATAGATAGAAATGCCTGTGCGGGGGTGGGTGGATGGTCCAATAGATAGAAACACAGAGTGATCTGTGACTAGAAAAGCCATGGTCAATGACAGACATCTAGGGAAAGACGTGTGGAACGGTGATGAAGTAGCAACGGTTAGAAACAAATCAGCCTATAGATAGAAATGCCTGTGCGGGGGTGGGTGGATGGTCCAATAGACAGAAACACAGAGTGATCTGTGACTAGAAAAGCCATGGTCAATGACAGACATCTAGGGAAAGACAGAGGGACAGTTACACACAGAGAGAGGGTTGGAAAGAGATTTATAGATACAGGTAAGCCCAGAGGGAATGATGGGATAAACAAATACAGAGGAGATGCATGGGAGGTCAGGCATCTGCTGGCAGTGCCAATCGGTGTGAACAGTGGTAGGCAAACAGATGAGAAGGGAGGTATGCATTCACAAAGACGAAAGGAAGGTGAGTACAGGTTCTCAGACAAGGTATGTACCAGGCAGAGACACACAGTATCGAATGAGCCAGCAGCTGGTGCAGGCGCAAAGAAAGTGACAAGCATAGGTGAACATAGTAAGAAGGTTTGCAGGTAGAAACCTTCAGCATATCAGCCCAGAGCAAGTCACAGGAGATCTGTAGTAGTGAGCAGATGAAGAGCCCACGCA